GAACTAATGGGATAAACTCACTGTGAGCAGAGAATTTGTCATTGACAAAAAGGGCTAGCATTATTATAGTTTTACTCTTTTAAAAAGATATTTCCCTTTCTTTCAACTATTCTGATGACTTCCTTGTCGCACTCTTATTTTCAGTCTTTTATTGAAAAGACTATGTTTCATCATGTTATAATGGCTTACATGCTTAGCGCACATTTTTAACAACTTTTTAACATAGTTGTAATAATAAAACCCCCAGTCTTTATGATAGTCCATCAGAATGTATGGTAGATAGTGTATACAAACGTACTCGTTTTGCTCGACTTCTTAGTGAAAATCTGCTGTGCTTCTCGATATTTCATAAGTCATTTCGATAGGACAAAGGAGTTTTTTCAAGAGAAGTTTTTTTCTTCAATGTTCAAATTTCCTATCTTCAATTATTAAATATTGTGTATATTCATACTTTTCAGTCTCCTTTAAAATTTCCAACTGCTGCTTGCAGATTTAGATATCATTTAGCATATGAAAAAGATACAATGTGCCATAACGAATGATGGATTATATGCATTTTCCAAAATATAAGTCAATTATCGTCTATACTCGTACTTTGGTTAAAGCGGTTTATTGTCACAAAATATTCTGTTTGATTGCAGCCACAAAAGGTGCAATTTTTTGAAAACAATGACTACAAATGCGTTATAAATAATGCAAGCCTTAAATTGGTTTGGAAATGAAAATCCATTTGAGCGCATAATTTGCTCTTGTTCCACTCGATAAACTGCAATTTCAAATTGCAAATGCATTACATCTGGGCTTGAGGCGTGCGGTGGTACATTTCTAAAGCGTGCCACTTTACATTGAATGGGCTCAGTCGATGGACATATTCAACTTAACGCACATGGTCAACCGGTTTGCCTTCTCTTTTGCCAAGTTATTCAATGCACGCATGTTTTTCGTTTCGGTATACAATAAGCCTTACTTTATAAAGATTGAATAGTTCCAGCGGATTGTCTGCTCCACTTTTAGGCACAAAGCATAATTGCATCAAATGCCGAAACTGATGATGTTGGACAAGCCCAGATTTGATCACACAATTGAACGTTGTTTGATGTTAACAGAATAAAAACGCTTGAGGTTCATTTTGTATTTTGGATTTTGGATTTTGGAAAACCATTGCCATTAGAGATCAAACGAATTCCTTAAACAACAACCAAACCAGTTCACTGTTATTTTCCAAGCACCGTAAGCTTTTCCATATTATGTATTACATTTTAAAGTTATAAAAAACCAACCAATAGAAAAAATAAATGTTAATAATAGCAAAATGTTGCGTGGGGAAGTGCGTTGTTATATATTGCGCAATAATAATTTTAAATCGGTATTGAAAGTGTAAAAAAAGGCGATTGCACATGAAATTCCTTTAAATTGTCGATTCGATTGTCATGCCTTTAACATTGCCAACGCTTTTCCAAAAGGAGAAAAAGTATCTGAACATTTGTCACAATGTCTGTCATTTGATAGGAAATGGGTTTAGCAGTACCAAAACAACAACTGTTGCTTTCAATTACTCGTACACACTTTCCATGTTTCGAATACCATTTCATATTGCCTTTCAGATACTTGAACAATGAGTTTTTCCTGATATTTGATCTCATTAATATTTAATACACATTACATTAATTGGAATTTTCTGTTTTACCGCAAATAAGTTCAAGTTGAGCACAAATATGTTACAGGAAGCGGAAAATAATTGTTTGATTGATATGTGCTTCCTTTTCCCTTAAAAGTATTCCATCTAGTTTTGATTCGAAAATTGAGTTGTTTATAGTTGAACAAAAATTTTAATGGATTTTGAAACGAATTTTTTTTATCTAAAGGATTTATTTTAATTGGCAATCGAACAGTAGAGCAAGAAAACAGGAAAGAAATTTAACAATTCATCCAATCAGTTATCTATACAATAAAACTGAAATCACTCATCAACATTATGGAAAAATAACACTAGTTTTTCAGATCAATATTACAAATCAATTCAAAATATCTACGTGGTTGTTTTCCTGTTTAAAATAGGGTATCTCTATCCAAAATGCGGTCAGCTAGAGATTTCTTAAACGTTTTCTATGATATCACAACGGTCCTAATTCTTTCACTAAGTTCATCTTTCACGAGAGAGTGTTTGTCTTTGTGATCTAATTTGTTATTATTCACAAACACAACTTTTTATCAAATGAAATTTTAAATTTTTCATCTTGCCGTATAGTCTAATGACTCTTATTTTGTCTGGTTCTTTCGAAAATTTGAACATAAGCTTTAAAGGGAGCTATTGATTTTAAGAGGCTTAACTTCGACTCTGATGTTAAAGTGAACTATTTCAAAAAATTTACGAATGACACACACATCTACAGCAATATGTACTGTCAATAACTGTCTTTAAGGACTCCAATGTGGTATCGTTATGTTCCTATGAGGTCTATACGTACTTTCCACCAGCCAACACTATATACCTACCTAATATCCATAGTTTTTTAAGCGAGCTTTAATGTGACAATTATTTGATGTTGTTAAATATATTTGTTTATAGAAATATATACACAGATAGATAAAGAGGCAAATATAAGATTAAGCACACAAATAGACACAGATACAAACAACCAGACTGCAAGAAAAACAGATAAACAAACGGGTAAACAAACAGACATTAATAAACATATAGATAAAGAGACAGATTAATCGGCTGATAAACAAGCTCGCTGATAGGTAGTCAGAATATGAAGAAAATACCAAAAGACAAGTATTCAATAGTGCATACAAACAAATGTTTATCTGCAAATTGGTTGGCAGATAAACATTCAATCAAACTCGTAGACCAACAAATAGATGGGCAAGCTTGTAGACAGCCAGATGGAAAGTCAAATAGACCAAAATCAAAGACAAATAGTCAGAGCGTCGACAAGAAAGCAATTAGATATTGCTGAATTGATTCATCTAGTCAAGATGATGAAAAATCCACGTATACATGTGGTATACATGCCTTCTTACTCGTAATTTTTTGCAAAGAGGCACTTTTTTCCAACAGAACAGAACCGAGATTACTAACGGGGTACCTTATGGGTTACCTCAGTTTGTGTTAACATATTAACAATATAAAAACATATAAAGTGACAGAAAGTCACCTCTATCTAGAGAGGTATTAGATTTCTTACATTAACACAGATTTAGAGGTACTTTTTCTCAACAGAACATAACAGAGATTGCTAAGAGGTGCCTGATATGCCATCGCAGTCTGTGTTAATATATTAACAAGATAAGAACGTCTAAAGTGACAAAAATTTACCTCTATCTAGAGAGGTATGAGATTTCTTACAGTAACACAAATGTAGAGATACTTTTTCTCAACAGAACAGAGCAGAGATTACAGAGACTATTATCTACTAAGTTATAAGAGTTTTCTTCACTAAGAGTCTTCACTAAACATTCCTTCTACTTGCTTATTTCTGCCAGAGTCGCGATATTCTACGACATTCAAGATCCTTTGAACTTAGTATATAATTATTTAATATAGAGTAGCATAAAGCAGAGCTTTTTTTTAATACTATATTGTATATTATAACTAATGTATACAAGATATGGTTAGCCTGTGATTCTAATAAAACCGATGACTCCAACATTTTTTTAACATTTATTTACCACAATTTAAATTCTATAGAAGAGAAATTGTTATAAATAAATTTAATTTTAAAATATTGATTCCATTATTGGTCAATCAAATATATAGTAAGCATAGGTTGAAGAATAGAATTGGGTTTTAAAATGAAGTGGAAAAACTCTCCCAATTAGTTGCAATAAATATTACAGATAAACTTAATGAATAAGGTTTAGATATCTTTTAAAACTATTTCTTTATAAAGAAATATAATTTGTCGTTACGGTTTACACGTAAACGTTTACACCTTGCATACTGCCTATACAAATTAATATAAAAACTCACCATTTTTTGCTTACATGCAAAGCATGAAAACTTATTGGAATTAAGTTGATCCCACTGTATAAAATTAATTTTATGACATTCCTTGCCTTTAGAACTTAGCCGGCACTAGAGTCTTATTTCGAGAAGAAAAAAATCTTGTTTATGCTGTAAAATGAAAAATTGAGTTTAGTCTAGATAATTGTTCTTTTATTTATTACAACGCGTTTTTTTTTGTATTTCAAAGGTTTAGTGGCTTTGAGCTTCGCACATTTATATATAAATTTACGATTAAAGTGATATCAACGCCATTAGTAATGATTTAATATTTCTTTGTTGATTTTATAACTTTTTCTAATAGTAGATCTGTCATTTGAATAGTACATCATCACAAAAATAATTTTCAATAAAAGTTTTAATATATAAATTAAAAATAATAATTATTTTAATGAACGCAATTGTATTGAAAAATTTAATACCAGAATATGTTATTTTTGTAGTTGTATGTTATGATTAAATCACACGTTAACTACAGGTATATTAAAAACTACATATCATATATTATATTAATACACTATTTAAATCGTTTAATTATATAAAAATTGGTAATAACTTTCACACAATAAATAGTTTATTTGTTGTTAATTTTATATTAAAATTATTTTAAAATTATGTGTTGCTTTCAAATTTCAATAAAAACGACACAACTGAAATCGGAACAGCATTGCCATTCTTTACTAAATTAAAATACGCAAATATAAACCAAAAGCACAAAAGAAATTCTCGTATTTGCTTACTCACTACTTTGTTTACAAGTAAAACGCAATGTTTTTGTTGTTGTTTCAAAACGACCGGCTTGACATTTACATATTTTGTTTTTGTTCATTTCACGCTTTACACTCATTTTCTATACTTAACTACTGCGCAGCTGCTGCATGTGTCAAAATCGAAATGACAAGCAAAGCAGAACTCAGAGAAAAAAATAAATAACAGAAGTTCAAACTGCCGAAGAAAAGTTAAGCAAAGCAACACAGAACCGCATCTTGTCAATAAATTAAGAAAAAAATTCAATAAAATTAAATATAAACGGATTAGATTTATTTTATTATAAATAGTGAAATAATAATTGCTTACATATTGAAGTTAGCCAAATTTAAAGCAAATTCGTACTTTTATTGCAGATAATTGATTTTAAGCAATAGAAATTACGCAAGTGTCGTGTGCAAAAAAAAGTTCTCAATTAAAGTTTCAAAATATATGTATATAAGAGTTAATTCGAAAACAATATTTGTTTAGTGTAAATCGAAAATATTGTGCAGCAAAGTGAAGAAAATATATAAAAAAATTTTAATTTACGGAGAAATATCAAGCTTCACCACAATAAGTAAAAAAGGTATTTTTTTGAAAATTTTTTTCTTATGTGTTTTTTTTTTGCCCTTTGTTTAATCATCATTAATTGTCGTCATTTCTAATCTATACTTAACCTTATGCTTATGATCCTACTTAATACATGTACATATATAAATCCAAACGTTTAAAAGCCTTATTAACACATATTTTCTACACTTAAAATAATACTTTTTATTTCTTCATTTATTTGTACGTCAGGCATATTTACGTCATTGTCTTTGCTCTTTCTGTTTTCTTATTTTTTTGTATTTTTTATGCCCTATAAAGTCCTAATATTACTGTGCATTTGTCTATCGCCCTTTTGTGTTTGTTTCGTTGTTTTTGTTGTTTTTGTTTTTTATAATGTTGTCTATTTTTTTGTTTTGCTTATATCCGCCCGGTAAAACTGTGCTGCTCTTGTGATGATTTCACCTAAATTGATTTTAATTAGTTTTTCTTCATATTGTAATTAAACTAGATTTTGACGTGTGTGTAGATATAGTTTTAAAATACATATGTATTGATGTGAAAATTGCTAAATTAAATGTAAATGTATATAATGTACAAATTTTGCTTACTATTTTCTATGTATTTTAATTAAAATAAATAAAATGTAGATTAATTTAAACTAATATGCAAAAATATTTATTAATGATAATAAAATATAAATTTTGTAAATAAGTGTATTTATTTAAAACACCTCTCCTAAAATTACATATTAAGCTTTGTTAAAGACTCCAAATGGTCTTAAACCCTTTTATACGGCAACACAATGGGCCGATCCTTAAGATCGACGTTATAACCTAATCTAAACTATACTAAAATTATATAAAAAGTGATATATGTTATCGTAAAAAATATATAAATAAATATTTTATATAATTACATGCTTATTTCATTATAATTGCTACTATAATTAAATAATATAAATTATAGATATCATCAAATAATTACTTCCTTAAAAAAATACACATAAAAATACGATTTATTGGTTGCTAAGCTAAGCAATTTTGGTTTATTTAAATTTATTTTTAAAGCGAAAAATTATTAAATTTTTAAACAGATCAGCGGTCGTTGCAGCACACCATAAAGTAGGGATCACCCAAAGACTATATATTATTAGTCAAAAATATGTTTTGCTTTAATATTCATCCCTTTTGTTTCTTTTTGAAGTAACAAACTGCAATAAGGCCGTGTGGGAATTCGAGTAAATTGATGGTAAATTGAAGGAAATAGTAAATTATGTCAGTATGGCAGCGAATGTTGGTATTTACCAGAATTTCGAGTAGGATAAATTAGATAAAAATTGGGTAAATTATGTGTTATGTTAAATTTGCAAACTTTTAACCAAAAATAATAAATAAGAGCAACAAATAAATAAATAAATATTTACATAAGTGCAGTGCAAAAAATGCCTAGGAAATTTTAATTTACTTTACCTCAATTTACTCGAACTCGCACACGGCCTAAATAGCGTAAGGTAAATATTTATTTTCTCATTTTTGTTTCTATAGTGTTATTCACGAACTCAGAAATCAACTGTCTAACCGAGTAACATAGCAACATAAACATTTACTCAAAAAAATATTTCTTATATCAACTTCTTTAGTAAACTCTCAAAAGATTTATACAATAAAAAATTTTGAAACTGGCACTTTGACCATTGTATTAGTATTGCAAAAAATAAGCCCTGCACGCTATGTAACCCTAAAATAATACTTAGCATAAAAATACACTTATTTTTAATATAAATATTCTAAATTTAATGTGAACTACGCAAACAATATTTACTGCCAACACAAGCGCCCAATAACGCATAATGCCAGGTGTATCCCGTGGCTAAGACGTGAAACGTTTAGAATATCTTTTCCGTCTACAAAATTTTTTTTTAGAATTTGAAAACTCAGAATTTTCCATTGCTTCATTTATATTTAATATTTTTATTGTTGTTAGTATTTAGTGAGGCATATCACTACATTATTATATTTTATATTATTTTATTTATCTATTTACTGTCAACAATTTAATTAATGACTTTGATAGCGAAATAAACAAGTCTAATGCAATAAATCTGAAGTAATTTTGAAAAGTATTTTTCATTCTATCTTATCATTTGTTTACTTTTATTTGCGGTACTTTATAGGCCAATTCTTTAATCTCTTATTAAATAGTCTATTCTAAGACTATGAGTTTATTTAAGACTTTCCAGACATTTATTCCCCAAAGCGATGCAGAAAATTTTTCTATTTATTTAAAATGACGTATACAATTTTTGTTTATATTTTTTTGAGAATTTAAAAATTGACAAATTGTGTACTTTGTCTTCGCCTTAGAATTGTTTTAAGTTATTAATATTAATGGCAAATAATAATGATAATTAAATTGTCATTTATTTATTATTTATTTTACAAAAAGACATTTCTTACACACATTTAGTCTAGAATTCGTTTGAATCCAATAGATATCCATAAATTTTTCATTAAATTTTGAAATAAAATTGCTATTTCTCTTCAAAATGTGAGGCACCTTTAATTAGTTTTTAAAGTACCACTTCTGAAACTAGGAAAAAATGACGCATGAATACTATGTATGAATACGATATTTACTAATATCGTATGTCTTATATATATATTTTATGAATATATATACAATACATTTAATATATTGTTAGAAGATCAGTTGGTTCTTTAACTGTCTTATGCAATCACTTCAATCACTTTTATCTTCGCGAAGTAAACTTATTCCAACAGTCATCACGTAAAATTTTTCCATTCCAAACAATGGGTATAATATATTGCCATTAGTCGATTTCATTGTTAGATTATTACTTATCTGAGATATATAATATAGATTAATATTTCTGAATTCAAAACAGACTGCGGTTCAACAAGGACCGAACCGATAAAGTATTCAATGTTCTTTGAAAGAACCGGTATCATAACATATTCAAAAATAAAAGCGACAATACAATACCTATATGGATTGATTATGTTAAAGGTGCAGACCTTTTGTCACTCGCGAATCAGTGGCTTGAAAAACCTGGTTTCAATAATTTTATGAAAGAACTTGAATGAAAATAAAAACATATTAAAAGCCCCAAAAAGTTGAAATGTTATTTCTTTTATAAATATGTCCTTTTCAACAATTTACGCAACATAATTAACCATAATTGATATATAAAATATAGTCCATTTTATTAAGAAGTTTAATAATCTCACAGTTGTCGCGAAGACATAAGCTTGCCAGAATCTTATGCTCTAAACAAGATAGGAATAAAACGAAAATCCTTTTGAATTTAAGCAAACCTACAGTTCGTGTACTCACTGGAATAGTAACAGGGCACTGTGCTATTTTTTCAAACCCCATTTGCTCTACAAGGAGAATAGGACTACAGTAAATAAGTAATCACTTCCTATCTCTGAGCCCGAGACTACAGACGAAGGGACTTCCATGCCTTGAAGACCGTTTCTTTACTGGCCTGACAGAGATAGCGGAAGCAGATTTGTGGGATCTACTCAGCTTTAACTGGAAGAACAAATTGTCCAACAAGGACAATACCATAAGATAACAATGGTTAATAGAACTCACCTTTCCTAGTGCATCACAATAGGCGATAGATGTCTCTTTATTTTACTCTTTAATCTCTTTAATCTTTATTATAAAAAAATAAAACTTTATTGAATCAACAATAAAAATAACATTATGTGAATAGATAAATATAAACAAATTTTATTATATGATCTAAATTTATAACTTATTATTAATTAACAATTTTAAATTAAATAATATTTAAATATTAATTATTTTGTAATCAAAAAATTTTAAGAAAGTGTTTTTTCAAGTTAATTAGTTAAAACTTTTTTATTGTTTTTAAAACATAAAAATTAAGAAAAAGAAATCACAATTTAATTATAAAATAAAATTTTATTTTTAATCAAATTTACACTACATACAATTTGTATCTAAATACCATAACTGAAACCTACAAGTATTCACATGTTAAAAAACTTGCATACTTTTAGGCAGTATTTAATATCTATCGTTTTATTTAAAAAATTTTTATTTGAAATTGTATCTACGATAAGAAACAGCACAGTTTGCCGCCTTCTATGCGTTTAACTCGCTTAATAGTTGAAATGAAATTTTAATTTTTTTAAATTTTAGTTGAAATTCAACACTTTTGGCCACATACACCACAAAATTTATAGTGCAGTTGAAACGTTCGTTTAGTATTGCTTTTGGCACTAAGTGCTATGAATCGTGCATTTTTAATCGAAATCATTTAAAAATCAAAACAAATATAGAGTGACCAGACGTAACTATAATTTTAGTACCATACATTAAATTAAATTAAAAAAAAAAATAAAAACATTTTTATTTTCAATAATTTATGCCTTTTTTTTCATCACTTACAAAATGCACTTACTTAAGCAGCAACAAATTAAACATCTATATTTTCAGTTATTCAAATTACAAAAATTTCAATGTTTAATTTCAATTAACGAAACAGCAATTAACACAACAATTAAAAGTTTAACACGTCATTTTTATGTAAGTTGCAATTGTTTTGATAAAAAATCATTCAAATTATTATCAGCAACTGCAAACGCAACGTCAAGAACACGGCTCACAAATCTAAGAAAAGCTACAATCGAAGTATCTCACAAAAACAAAATGGCACACAAACGCTTTTTCAATGACAGCTGCTCTGTAAGTACTAAATACTAAATCCTTACAAATCCCACTTTTAAATCCTTTTTAATTCGAATTTTGTAAAATTTTAAATTGAGCTTCTTTTGTCTAAATTAAATGCTTACTTACAAGTATGTAAATAAATAAGTACTTATTTGCTTAAAACAAAATTTAAATCTACCTTATAATACTTACTAGGATTTTAATATATATATCTATATACATTTATATATAATGTATGTTTGTATATAAACTATTTTCATTCATTTCAAACAAACATTTTACATGCATATAAATCTATCATATAAATTTATTTTGTTTAAAATTTAAAGTATTTAAGTATTCATAAAGTCTGTGATTTCAACACTAATCAGATTATATCAAATTATATCCAATTTAAGTAAATTTTATAGTTTAAAGATTACTGTAATCCAAACTACAATTGTTTTCTGAAGATAAAATTAAAATTTAAATTACTATTCTATCAAAATCTTAAAAGTCTACTGTTCTCAGCATAAACTATTATTACCCATTAAAGCATTTTTTAAATATTTATAAAATTTATTTTTAACAAAAAATTCAAAATTCCTTTCACTCACATTTTAATCTTAAATATTCATAACAAAATTGTATTTTTTTGTCATTTGATTTACTGCTGAGACCCACCTATTCTCGTTAGCATATATAAAAAATAAACAGAAACTAAAAGGAAATATTCGCATGCACTTCGAAGAGTGTTCCTTTGTTCCATATTCAAATTACTTGTGTGTTCTCATTACGTCACTTATTCAAATGAAGTATCTATGGAATGCGCTTCCTTTCAAATTTCTTGAAAATGGTTCTGACGTTTTTCTAATTCGAACCTGTGCACAGAAAGATTAATTCGAAAATGACTATGTTCTGCTAACAGTGAAACTGTGTGTTAACCCATTTTCTTTGTACGGAAAACAAAGATTATTGAAATTGAAATTTATAATTGCTTTTCTTAGTCATTGTTTATTCAATATTTCTATCGTACGTTCTAACAATTAGTTTTTATATATGTATAGATTAATTTTACTTAAACTTAAACTAAACTAGCAATACAATGAGAGAACGAACTGTATGACAGACCATTGGACGATTGAGGACGAACGATTTAACGTTTCGGTGATTGCGTTCATTTATAGATCGTGATGGGACCCATAGCCTCTATGGCTCCCTATAACAAATAAATGAAGATTTCGGACTACCGTACTGGTAATTGAAAGTATCGATACTTATAAATGCATGGATTGACATTAATCACATAAGGGAATAAAGGTTTTTCCATAACCAACTCTAGAATATAACAATAAAACTTCAATTAGGATTAGACGATTACAGCGAAATTACCATAATCTCGCCCACATAAGGGAATAAAGGTTTTTCCATAACCAATTCTAGAATAAAACAAATGGAAAGAAGCTTCAATTAGGATTAGACGATTACAGCGAAATTACCTTAATCTGGAGTAAATGTTTTTCCATAATCAACTCCAGAATAAAACAAAAGAAAGGATTGAATACAATGAAGCATTTACTTAAAGAGGAATATATTTATTTAAAACTGAATTTACATCATAATCATTTTGTCCTTTATAGTGTTTTTCCATTACACTTGATCATGTGGGGTTCAGTAATAATCAAATAACAAAAAAATACAGTTTTGTGGCATTGGTTTTATAATTTCGGATGTTTATGAGTCTTGAGTCCTCTTCTACTGCTTCCAGCTATCGATTCCGTTGTTTTCTTTTTATTCTAGAATAAAGAATATGATTCTTTTAGAATTCATTAAAGTATGCGACTACACGATTTTCGGATACCACAGCCATCTTGTCATTATTTTTTTACCCAAAGTAGTATTCCTATTTGCTGTTGTCTTGAATTCTAATATATTCTGTTTAAATTTCAAAGCACTTTAGATTTTCTAAAGAATATTTCATATGTAGTATGTTTAATATTTGTACCATCAATTTATATATTTTAAATTTAAAGTTAGCTTCGACTTCGACAGCTTCAAGTTAATTCAAATTTTAGTTGGTTTTGAAAACAATTTGTCAGCATACATTAAATAATGTTGAGCCCACATACCATATACCACCGTAGCATCTCTAATCGCATTGTTTTATAATAAAAATAATGGGTCTGCTTTACCTGATGATCTTATAAAAACAAAAAGATAACAGAAATTAACTTAATACACTATACTTGCGCGAATCCAATAAAAGTTTCTATACTAAAATAAGTGTACTTTATTCGCAAAAGAAAACACGTCATGATCTACCCAGAAAGATCCATTGGAACAGATGATTTTAGAAAATTATTTTACCAAAAAAATAACTATGTAATTAAAAAAATATAGTATGGTTTCGCCAACCAAATAAAACTAGAATTTCCCGGATTTCCAAAGGATGAGAACGTCATGTTCTAATAAAAAAGATTGGTTCTACTCTGTTTTACCCGATGATTTTACAAAATTGATTTCATGAATCCAATCTGCTTTCATGAATCCAATAGAAATGTGATTTTCAGGGTCTGCATATCAAGAGTATGTTGTGATCTAACAAGAAATATCTTCTTTCTTGTGTTTTAGCCGAAGATCTTACAAAATAAATTGACAACTTCTGATTTTCAGGATCTGTAAATCAAGAGCACGTTGTGATCTAACAAGAAATATCTTCTCTCTTGTGTTTAGTCGATGATCGTACAAAATAAATTCACAACTTCATTGATAGCAATTATTACAATACATTATTAAAAACAAGTAATAAGTAGTGTTTTTTTAAATATATGTTTAGAATAAGAAACAAAATAATATTAAAGTTTATTGTAAAAATATATAAACTTATCTTAAAAATGTTTTTGTATTTTAGTTCAATTTCAGTATGCAGGATAATTCTTTTGAAACTCCGAGTTCACCTAGCGTGGAAGTTCCAATAAAAAAATATTATCGAAAGGCAGCTCATAGGTAAGTTATAATATATTATTTATATTGTATTTAATATTAAAAATGTTTTATGGAAGATTTATTCGTTTAAACTCATAACAGTTGTTAATTTTTTTAAAATTCTCATTGTATATACGGGAGTTAATGTTAATTTTCTTTTCATTTCCGTGGTATACATACAACGCATATTACAATATCATTTTATCACAATTCCGCGTACATACAACATATAGCAGCAGATGATAATATACTCTAATAAACATGACCCAGATGTAATGGGATTAATAAATCTAGTGTTTTAAAAAAATTTTACATAATAATTATTTACAAAATCATTTTTAGAATACTAACACTTTTCTACTCCTTTTTTTGATGCTATTAGCTGACACTTAAATGATTGTTCATTTCAATAATTATATTTCAATGGAATTGATAATTGCTTGCTTGAGTGAGTGGTGTGATCACTGATTGCTTGAGTAAGTGGTGTAAAGGGGTTATTAATTCTTTACTAATTGATTAATTTAGTAGACCAAGTCATTTGAAGTGTATAGTTTAATTACTTTTGTTAATCATGTTGAACATTTTTTATTTTTTATAAGTATGCTCCTAACTCATATTGCTATTTGTAACCAGTTTAAATGATGGTTCGAAATTGTTTACTTTTAATTAAGATTTATTTTATATATAAAATTTTGAAAATTGAATGTATATGGTTTTCATTTCCGTTATTTTTTTTATCACACCACATGTGCAATAAAGAATTTTTGAAAAATAGTATTTAAATCATTATCATCATCAGCTCCTGTATGTCTCATTGGAACATAAAGCATTAATAAAGCACTTCCAACTGGTTTTGTTTTTTTTGCCAAAATCTATCTTTAGCTCGTTCCAATTTTTTCCAGATTCCTCGATGTCGTTTTGTGATCTTCTTCTCCATGTGTTTTTAGGATGTCCCCTCTTATTATTGCTTTGGGGGTTATTGACAAGAGCTTGTCGTTTATTTTTATGTGTCGTGCTTTCGCAATGTGTGACCTAACCACCGTTATTTTCGTGGTTTTATGTAATTGACGATTGGTTCCAATTAACATTTCTTATATAACTCGGAGTTATTGAAGTAAAGTATTTAAATCGTACAAAGAATAGACAAACTAATAAAATTTAATTGTTTATAATATTGAAAAAAATTATTATTTCTTTATGTTATTATTATTTCTCTATGTTATTATTATTTCTTTATGTTATTATTACTTCTTTATGTTATTATTATATCTTTATGTTTTTATTATTTCTTTATGTTATTATTATTTCTTTATGTTATTATTATTTATTGATGTTATTATTATTTCTATGTTATTATTATTTCTTTATGTTATTATTATTTCTTTATGTTATTGTTATGTCTTTATGTTATTATTATATCTTTATGTTATTATTATTTCTTTATGTTATTATTATTTATTGATGTTATTATTATTTCTATGTTATTATTATTTCTTTATGTTATTATTATTTCTTTATGTTATTGTTATGTCTTTATGTTATTATTATATCTTTATGTTATTATTATTTCTTTATGTTATTATTATTTATTGATGTTATTATTATTTCTATGTTATTATTATTTCTTTATGTTATTATTATTTCTTTATGTTATTGTTATGTCTTTATGTTATTATTATATCTTTATGTTATTATTATTTCTTTATGTTATTATTATTTATTGATGTTATTATTATTTCTATGTTATTATTATTTCTTTATGTTATTATTATTTCTTTATGTTATTGTTATGTCTTTATGTTATTATTATATCTTTATGTTATTATTATTTCTTTATGTTATTATTATTTATTGATGTTATTATTATTTCTATGTTATTATTATTTCTTTATGTTATTATTATTTCTTTGTGTTATTATTATATCTTCATGTTATTACTATATTTTTATGTTATTATTATATCTTTATGTTATTATTATTTATTTATGTTATTATTATATCTTTATGTTATTATTATTTCTTTATGTTTTTATTATTTCTTTATGTTATTATTATTTCTTTATGTTATTATTATTTCTCTATGTTATTATTATTTCTTTATGTTATTATTATTTCTTTATGTTATTATTATTTCTTAATGTTATTATTATGTCTTTATGTTATTATTATTTATTAATATTATATTTATTTATCAATTTTTATACATTTCTTAATAGTTTCCTATTATTTCACAATTTTAATTTAATCTTTTTCTAACAATTATAGTCATAGTCTGATTCAACTAAAAATGCAATATTCATAAATAAATTCGTCATACTTTGATTTCACATAAAAACAAATACAAATATTTGTTTTTTAGTTCTCTTAAACTTTCGATGACTCTCTTTCTTGTTCTCTTAAAATGCATAACAATTAGTTTAAGAGATTACTAATACAGCTGGTTAATGAAGTAAACAAAAAGATCGTGAAAATTTTCCACTACCGCTAAAAATGCAATACCGCTTGACGTCATAACGATTCTTACGTCACACTTTTGCCATTGCAGTGCATATCTTTACGTTTTCCCAATTCACTACAAAAAGATACAAAATTTCAAAACAATTTTATTGTTTACACACAAAGCTCAACACAATTAAAATATGCAAATTTACACATGAAGACCAACCACACCAAATATTTTCCATTAAAAATAAAATAAATATTTTTTTTTGTTTTATTAATTTAAAATTTACGTTTCAAATGCCACGAAACATTTTTCCAAAAGTATTGTAAAAGTATCTCAATGTATTCAGAAAATATTTGAACTTATCTGAAGAAATCTGGGCATTGAACTTTATTATTTTTGTTATTCTTTTTTTTTTTTTAAATTATCTGTTCATTTTTGCCATCTTAAAATTTTATAAAAATTTTTAATATTTATTGATTTGTTTTTTAAATAAAATTTATTTAATTATATTATCTGCGCTATTTATATAGAAATTTCGTAATTAATCAAAAATAATAGAATAAATCTTTATTTATGTATATTCACATAAATACATATATTTTATATAAATATTTTTTTTTTGAATTTTATTTATTTTTTTATTTTTATTTATTTTTTTATTTTTTATTATTGTTTATTTTTTAATATCTGAAGGTTGCTATTGTAAAGCTGAAATGAAGTATTCGTGCTATTCAGTGCGTATTTCAATCTGCGCATCTATGCAATTGACACGCATTCCACTTTGTTTTTAAATAAATAAAAACTGATAATTGCTAACGCCAGATTTATTATTCGCTTTTAATAAACTCACTTTACTAATCTTAACTTAATAAGTAATTAAGTTTATTTGAAAATATATTTTTCCAATCAATTGAGTTCATTCTTATCTGCTCTATAATTAATACTTGAAAAAATTAAATGTTCATTAATAAAAGAATTTACTTTAATCAAAGTTCAATTTTTCTTGTTTTTTTTTATTTAGTGCATTGTTGATTACCAATCGCAACACATACTATTTTTCAGATATAGAGATATATTCCAATGAAATAACATATTTACTTATATATTGGTAGTCAAACTAGATGTCGGTAATAAATGTGTTAGGAGATTACTGCAGTAATCATATTGGCATTATTATCTGTAGTGAGGATAAAGATTTATAATAATATCAGTGATAACATTCAATAGAGTTATAATATTAATCTTATTTTGTAAAAGTTTATCTTAAGCCTCATTTTGTTATTGCCATTGTACTTATACTTCCTAAAAAGCACAATCTTAATAATCTCTTTTAATGTTTCAATAGGGATAATCTATTGATCAAAATAGAAAGAAATATCAAGCCCTCATTTTATCCGAAAACTTACTTGTAAGTAAGTTTTTCAGTTCTACAATTGAACTCAATATCTCAAGCATCGTCAACATCAACATCAATACTACAATCGGTTTTATCTTGAGGTTTTTCAATAAATATCTACACTGATCAACATAATGTCTTAATATTAAGTATGGCGTCTCACCACCATAAAGTGTTTTAGATCACTTACCTACACTACAAGATGGATCGTATACGATTCGTAGTTCAAGTGTAGATTCGTCTTTATCTTTGGTAATTCAACTGATATCGAAGCTTGGTAGCTTTTAAAAAAACTATGAATTAAGCTCGATATCTTAAGCATCGTCATCATCAACATTAATACTACAATCGATTTTGGATATTGAAGTTTTTTAATAAATATCTAATATACTGATCAATATAATGTCTTGATCTAAAGCAAATTTCAATGAAAATATAACTCCATTGGCGTCTCTCCACCATAAAGTGTTTTCTAATTAGGCTCCTTTTTGGTCATACGAGCTAGATTACTTACCTACACTACAAGGTGGACCGTATACAATTCATAGTTCAAGTGTAAGTTCGTCATTATATTTGGTAATTCAACTGATATCGAAACTTGGTAGCTTTTAAGAAATCTATGAATTAATCTAAATTGCATGTTAATGTAAGACAACACTATGCTTCGAGCTTCCTGACTTACTTCATTCTGTCGTCTACCATAAAATTTACCATAAGGAGTTTTTTGAGTAGACTGTTTTCCCTTCAGACTATCTAAGTGCACTGACTACCAGCGTATAGATTATATATTTTTTTTTACTAAAAGCTAGGTACGTCAAATACGTAGTTTAAGAGCCTCCGGATTCATTCTTTCTAACGTTTGTGGCTATCAACTTAACTTAGCTTTTTCACTATGGTGAAACTGCAGATCTTATTTATGAAATAAGAAGAAGACAGAAGAAGACATACACTTGTTTGTAAAAATATCTTCTCTAATAAACTTATCACTACTTTTACAATAAAATCTATCAAAAACTTATACCAAAAAATATCTCTCATTAAGTTTTTAGAATGCTTTTAAAATAAAATATTTCAGTACATGAAATCTACTTTCAATTTTTATCTTAAAAAAAAAATTACTTTTTTAATAATTTTTTTTGAGATAAAACTATACCAGCATGTTTCACACTTAAATTTAGA